ATCCCGGCCGAGCTCTATGGCCGCATCAAATCGTTAGTGATGTTTGGAGATGGATACTTGAAGCTCGGAGCCAGTCTAAGCAAGTTCCCTGCCGGACTGAACGAGAAAGCGAGGCAGGTTTGTGCAGCTGGCGATCCAGTAAGACTGATACCAACTTCCAGCCGAATTCATATGACCCAGACTGACTCTTACGTCTAGGTTTGCGATGCCAATGGCACCTGCACATTCTTCCACCTCACTTACATTCGCCCCGAGTTCATTGATCCTGCCGTCGACTTCATTGTCCAGAAGTTCATTCAGTAACTCATCAACGAGCAATCCTCGATGGGCTAGGTACTTTCGTTTCTGGGCAATCTGTGGGCCTTCGGAACAAAGGCGCAAGAGTTGTGAATGTATCCCCTTTCCATGGCCAGTTTTATCTAGTTTAACATCAAACATGAGGTGCTTGCGTCTATGCAAGCCATCCCGATTCAAGTTTTGAAACTTCCACCGGATAGCTCTTCCTCCAAATCGTAATATACCTGGAACTCGCAGTAACAAACCTCAGGATCACTCTCAACGTCAAAGTTGAAGTTCGCCTCGTCATCACTGATCAGCACCTTTCGAAGGCCAATGTCTCCATGCGATGCAGCCTCTACCAACAGCTGAACCTGACATGTTCGTTCCATTGATGTGAACAAGAAAGCAGCCTCGTCGACAGTTTTCCCAACGGTCAGGATTCCATGGTTTCTGAGAATGCACCCCTTGCCATTTGGACCAAGTGCGCTAGCAATGCGGTCGCCTTCTTCACTACCCAAGACGACACCTCCGTAGCTGTCATACACGGCATGCGCATCTCCTCGAAATTTGCAAGCATCTTGCGTCAACATGTCCAGTCGTCTGCCGAAGACCGACCATGCCTTTCCATGCACACTATGGCAGTGGCAAACAGCATGGGCATCCGGTCTCGCCTTATGAACCGCAGCATGAATAAGGAACCCGGCAGTATTCGGAGGAGCAGATTTATTGCCGCCAATGACAGACCCATCCAGGTTGACAAGAATCATATCGCCAACTTTCAAGAGGCCGAAATGCCGGCCTAGGGGGTTGGTCCAGAACGCATTGAGAAACTCCGGATCACGAACCGAAATATGACCGCTCATACCCTCGACATAGCCTTCGCGATGCCAGTGGCGGAAGGCAGCAGCCATATGATTGAGTTGCCATTGACGGTGTGATTGGAAGTCCAAATGCTTCGGAATGCCGCCAAGAACAACGCCACCATAGGACATAGCTTGAAGCGGTGTTTTGTTCTGCAACTCGTGGCCGTGTTTGTTTTGGGAAGTCTCCAAGTCGCCGCCGCCACTGACGATATCAGAAGGGTTAACTGAAATAGCTGAAGGTCCCATGATGAAGCGAGATATAATTTGTTCTTTAGACGTGTTTGGTGCACTGTCAATCTCGATGACCATGGTGAGGGAATCAACCTTCCTTTATAACACTGTTGCAATTTTTGGGTTTTGCCCGACACAGCGCGGATCCGTCACTGCTCAGATTATCATTTTACTTGAACGCCTAAGAGTATTAACTTAAGTTAGCATGCGCATCTTGTAGAGCAGGGATCTTGTATTGCGGGTAGAGAAAAGTCGGCTTAACTCTGGTTGAATGGCGAACCGATCGTGCTTGTCCGGGGTGGCCTTCTCCATCTAACAAATTGACTCCTGAGTCCAACTACATATGCACCTTAACGAGAAGGAGCAGAATGTGTCATCTCTGCACTTTCAATATCCACAGGAGAGCTTGTATGTGGCAAAGATCCTTCACTTTGAGATTGATCCATGTGAAAAGAGACAAGGATCACGCGGTAGTGTAACATGCTGCATCTGGACTGATCGCAGATGGAAACCGCCATACTATTTCCCATCTCGGGATTTTCTGTCTCGGGAGTACTTTCGTTACAAATCTCGAAGCAGTAGCTTCGAATAATGAACTACTCCCTTATCATCGAGATCCAAATTAGGTAGGTAACCCCCAGGTTTTGTTGCTTGTTAGTGCGGGGTTGCGAATGGTCGGTTTGATGCATTAGGCGATGGACCCATTTAATCCCGTGGAAACATGCCTATATTGTCACGACCCATCAGCACCTCCAGAAATCATTTGGATGAATAATCCTGCGTGATTAAAAGTGCCTCTCTCTACGATGTTAACGATCTGAATTGACTCTTCTGTAAAAGTTTCCGCCGAAAACGACGAATAGACAAATGCCTGACTGCTCTCTTAGTCCATACCTACCTTTCCTGTCTCCATAATGCCGAAGTCAATTAGGCGTCGAGTTGAGCATACACGAACCTTTACGGGGTGTCGAACTTGCCGGAGCCGTCATGCAAAGTGCGATGAAGGGAGACCGGAGTGTGCAGCTTGCCGCCGAAATGGGATCACCTGCGCTGGCTACACCGCTCGTCTAACTTGGATCGAAGATTGCGATGCCTCTGGAGAAGCAACTCGGCGCGGCCCTGAAGTGCCTGAGTACCGGTACACCTTATTTTCAGGTCGGATTCATTTTCGTGTGGTGGTCTTTTCTGCACATGCTGACGCGGAAGGCTATGTCCTCAGACTCTGAACGTGAGATCATGAGCAGCCAGCTCACAGATAGCCTTGGCTCAAAGGCAGCCGGGAAAGTGCTGGCCGAAATTGATACGGCGTCCAAAACATCTGAGCCTAAGAAGCCTTTTAGCATCTCAAAAGGACCTTTTGGGGTGTTCAAATGTCTTAAACGAAGAGAAGTCTCTCTAAGTCAGCTATCACTGTCGCCTATTACCTCAGAGCATGATATTAGCCTACTTGTCGATCCTGAAGATGAAAGTTTTCAAACGGGAACTGACCCACGAGAAGATTTCGGCATTGACTGGTCTGAGAACGAACTCGAAGGATCTATGCAGTCATCGCTAGACTGCTTAGATCTCTTGGTTGCCCAGAGTGATTCCATCACCGCCTCGGACCCTTTTTCAGCCTTAATGCCTAGCCTCCAATCAGATTTCTCTGTCAACATCTTGCCAATGAGTTGGCCGGGGGATGGAGAAGGCAATACTTGTGGGGAAGACAGAGATATGATTGCATCTGTCACCAATGCTATTGAGACAGACAACCATTTGGCCACCTCCCATGCTAATGTCGCCACTATCATGACTATACCGCCTACATCATTATGCCTCGGAGCTTCTGTTTCACGAACAGAGGTACCTGAACAGGCACAAACGCTGCTTCGCTACTACAAGAGCCACGTGGGCTCTACCAAAATTTCTGGACAAGGGAAATTCAAATCAACTTGGCAACTGCTATTCCTTCCTTGTGCCTTTGAGACGTTTGCGGAGTTGTCAGTGTTGAATGAGGCATCTCAAAGTCGGCTGGCGATTCTGTGCGCATTACTTGCTCATAGCGCCTTTCAACTCAACAAAACGGATTTAACACCGCGTTTCCCGAATTACTGGCAACATCTGGGTGACAAACACCAAGAACGAGCTCGAATGCATTTGAAGAATGCTGTGAAGGTAGAGATCCACGATTCTGGATTAGGTGGATATAAAGACCTATTAATGGCCTTAATCGCTATGGCCATGGGATCTGTGAGTATTTTGTGTTGAAATTCCAGTCTTTCAAAGCTGACGGACTTCAGTTGTGTCATGGAAGCCGTGACTCACGCGTCTTCTTGCTCGATGCTGAACGTTTGATACGAGTGAAAGGGCTTTCTAGCCACAACTCTGAGATAGTCAGAGTCCTTCATCACACCTATACCTATATGAGGGTAATTGCAGAGGCTACTTACCCCTTCTTGGATTCTGAAAGCGAGTCTGATCGCACAAGCTTGCTTGGAGTTGAAGCAATTGCACACGGTAGTTTCCATATTCGAGAGGAGTCCCTTAACACAGGTCTAGATCCCAACGAGGAAAAGAATGAGACAGTCGGGTATGCAGACATACACCTTGAGTCACAAGGTCTTTGGCGCGAGACATTACATTCGAACATACACGGCATCCCTGAGTCTCTCATGACACTGCTGGCTCAGACGATTCAACTCAGCAATGAGAAAGATCACCTCGAAACTCGCGCACGCAGCAATCCGAAGCTTGCTATTGACCTCAAAACGCACGTCAAGACTCTGGAGGGAAGAATATGGACCTGGTCAATTGAATCCGAAATAGCAATACTATCTGCGGCCGGCAAATCGCAGCCCATCGATAACGGGACGAACTTAATCACTCAACCTTCTACACAGTCAATGGTACAGGCGATGCATCGAGCGTTGATCATCTACTTCTATCGCCAGATACGCGATGTTAGCGCCATGCTCCTCCAAACCGTCATCGATCAAGCTTTGGGGTACTTGGAGTCTTGTCTTGATTTAATGGTCAGAGGCGACGACTTTGCACTTGGTATTGCGTGGACAGTCTATGTTTGCGCCAGGGAATCCATATCTCCAGAACTTCAGGAGAGAGCACTGAAGTGCATCAGCATTACTGATGCCCGAGGGCTGCATCTCACTTCAAAGCCTTCTGCTGAGGCAGTTTCGTTGCTATGGGAAAAGAGGCGGCCACTGAAGTCGTTGATTGATCATAGTTTTCTCCTGAGAGAAACCTTATGCCTTGGTTGATCGGCTTAAAATGGCAGTTTGGTGAGTGATCCCAGCTTCGGGCAGTATGCTCAAAGAAGCAATGAAATAATTGGATAGCTAATTGAGACCCATCATTGCCTATATCATGCTTCTTACTATCGTATTGAAAGAAATTCAAAGGCAGAGAAGGGGACTGATCACAGCTTGACTCTCGCGGTTTCGAGCAAAGCAGCCAATCCTGCCCGAGGACCCTCCTTGAGAGGAGCGAATGGCTTCCTGACCCCTCCGGTCTTCCATCCTCGAAGCTCCATGCCTGATTTGATTGCAGAAGCATGGTAGTGGTAGATTTCAAGCCACTTACAGATTGGGAAAATCTTTTCCCAGACCTCCCGGCCCTTCTTCAAATCGTCCTCTACGGCCAGGGTTCATTCCAAAGCTCGACAGAAAGCTCGGGAATAATATTGACGGCACCCCAGATGGAACCCTTTGTGCCCGCAGCCAGACCATAGAAGGTCAGAGTGTTCAAGTCGTTGAAGGTCGTAATCTTTTGGCCGTAGGTCAAGAGCAAGTCAGTCAAGACTGGAGCATTGCCCGAGGTGTCTTTCAGGTATTTGACACCGACGTCCGAAAGTGATGCAATATTCTGGGCTGACAAAGTCAACCCGCTGATGCTCGGGATATTGTAGTAGAGAATAGGTAATCCACTTGCGTTATGGATGTCTTGGAGGAACTTGCGTGTCTCCTCGAGGTTGTGAGCTTCGTAATAGGGCGGGATAACTATGACAGCAGCCGCGCCAGCCTGCGCGGCGTGAACAGCCAACTCGCCAGCGCCCTTGCTCATTAAGTCACCGGTGCCAGCAACGACAGGAATACGGCCAGCGGCTGACTTAATGCAAGTTTCGGTAAGAATTCTACGCTCCTCCACCGTGAGCGCAGCGAACTCTCCAGTACTTCCGCCGGGGACCAGGCCATGGACCCGACGTCAATAAGGCGGTTAACGTGCTGGTCAAGGGCAGCAACATCATGCCTCCGCCATCTGCGAAAGGAGTAATAATGTCTGCGAGAATACCCATAAGTTCTGGAGAGTTGGCCAATGTGACTGTGATGTCGGATGATCTTGCAAGTTTGGCATGAAGTAGATACGGCTTTACAGGAAGTAGTAGAATGAAAAGATTGCTTGATACTGACTGGGTGTGTTAGTCTCTTCAAGTTTGTTCCGGACTGAGTCAATGGAAGACTAGATACGTATTTATTTCTTCCGATGAAAGTCATCAAGCAATGTTTCAGACCCAAGTTTGCCTGCTCCTCTCGTCGCTTACGCGCATTCACTCCGCTTCCGGTACCACATATTGTTGATTATGTGCATTCGCCACAAATCGAGTCACTCAAACGAGATTAATGCCAAAGAGCAGCTCGAAAGAGAATGGATAGAAGATCCACGCGTATTGCCTCTCCAGATCTGTCTTCTCATTCACCCGATGAGGTACATTTTGTAACGGTCGTTGACTAGGAAGCTCCCTTTTGCAGAAGCAGAGGGGGGTGGGGATTCTCCTGGAAACGGCCTCGTATCAAAATCTCATCCAAAAAGGGCAAGTTTCCACGCCGGTACTCCGTAGAAGCTGTGCATATTAGCTTGGATCACAAATCGGCAAGCCTCATGTTTGTTTCCATCTCTAGCAGCTCTTGTTCATGATATGTGATTGAGAATCTCAGTGCAGGCATCAAAAGGGTGCTCCTCACATAAACCGCAATTACCTGACTATCTCGAATAACTAAATGCACACATCAACTCAGCGTCTTAACTGGTTTTTGCCTTTCGAAATGTTACAACTGCGGCAAAGTCGAGGAAAATTCAACCGCCACAAAACATAATATTCCAGAGTTTCATGTTTCCACCACAATAGATCTTGATTTTTGCAACAATTACCATAATTTGGATCATTTCTATGGGTTAGATGGTGTTCATTAGTTGCAAAAAGCTTTAGCTACTTAGATGATGACTAATTTCGACATCGCTTGTACTCGGAAAATGAGTTGACGGCTCTTAGTCTAGTTGGTAAGCAGGAACCCTCCAGACTCCAGAGAGTACTGCTAATGTACGGCACCCACGCTAAGGAGACGGCAATTGCCTTCCCACCCCCAAGTTTCGCCTTATTCGCATTGAGAAGACGCGCAGAGCTGCGCGAAATTTGAAACGTATCGAATCTTCACTATCTTGGCGTGGATTGGCTCTTCACGCTGAAGCAATTCTTTATTACAAATTTCACATGGGCGACATGCGTTAGATGTATCACGATTTAGGATCCTCTCGCACAGCGCGTCAGTATTCTTGAGTGATGTCCTCCTGGCTCTTCAATGAAATAAACTATTTCTTTCGAGAGGACTTGCTACCGTCACTGAGTGGACCATTTAGCAGTTGCCTGCAACACACCGACCGTATCTGCCCTTGCCGTTATGTAGTGGATCGCAGTAGGCGAGACTGAGTGTGGCTGTCCACATTGACATCGAATACTGCAAGTGAATGACTAAGATTATGAAAGAGCTTAGTGTGAGTTCAGCGAGGCGGATACAGAATTGGGGTCAATAGACCCGACTTAGTGAGACAAGCAGAATAAGACTTCAACAGAATGCGCAAATATGACTTGTCAGGTTGAACATCGAGCCAATGAATAATATCGTTAGCTATATGTGGGAAGCAGGTGCTGAGCTTCATAGACTCTCATAGACTCTAAGATGGTGATAGGGATGCTTTCTGCCGAGACCTTTGATGAAGAGCATGGCACTCCTGGAGAAGTCTGAATGCATTTTGATTGATCAGAAACCTATCCGAGGAGCCGAAATTTGGCATGGCGTTTACCATGCCGTGGATGATATGATTTCGCGCCACGTGAACCTTGGCCTATGGAATGGATCGGAGACATGATCTAGGCGTTTGGAATTCACGAGTACATCAGTTCGATGGGGCTTGGAGGCTCTGAGCTGGAAGTGAGTCAAAGCAGGATGCATGCTGCAGAAGACTACATTTTACGAGAATATACATGCCATTCACACAAGCTTTCGTAGAAAAGCCAATGAAATATGTACGGCATCCATGGCTGAGTTGGGAGTACCATTGGACTTGGGGATTCAGGTTAAGCAGGGGTACTAGCCTTGTGCTCAGCCCCTCCTCGTCTACAAGTACGTGATCCATCATGTTTTTGTCGGTTCCACTCGGAATCGCCGTTCTTCTATGAGAAACGATACCAAACATTTTCAGGCAGAAGGAGACAACTCATTCACTGCCAAAAAGAGTAAACACTGTCCCAGCCGCAGGAACAACAATCTCAGATGAGCCTAGTGCATCAAGTTTACGTTCCTTCTTTTTCCCACAGAATCATCCGTCTAGACCTTGATCCAGGCTCTCGGAGGGGATCAGGGTCCTAGCCTCTAGTAATCGAAAGTCGGCTACATTCACCGCAGCATCGGAGAATTCTTTTTTCTGAGGAATGCCAGGGGTCCCAACATGGTTAATGGGGTTAAAGCAGGGGTTTTTTCAGCTAGTGGGGAAGACGTTTCCCATCTTGAGATCGGTCGGCGCTGGTCACACTAGTTTGCAAACTAGTGAATATCCCATGTTAACCAGCAGCAGACCAACGTGAAAAGTACGTCGGAGTAAGCTAGCTAATTTGACCATTCGAACGGGTGGCAGCGCACCGTTCAGGCCTAGGTGTTGGCTCCCGTACGGCTGCACCCGCAGTAGCGGCCAGACGATAGCTTGAAATGACCGTTCTGGACTGTTGTATCCTAGTTGACAACGTCGCAATGCAGCAAGCACCCCGAAAATAGGGCCAGAAAAACGCATGGCCTGACAAGGTACCATTTGAGCTTACCTAAAATCGGTATTGTTAAGCCGAAGGATTTTGTCTCACTTCGGAGTCGTATGGAGATGGACGTCCCGAAGTAGAAATAAGCATCTCTTGAAAGGGAATGCAGGGAGATGGGAATGCTTGCTGAACTATGCCATTCAGCTTTCGGATCCAAGCCCACGGTACCGTCAAGACATGGTGGATCATGGAGCATTCTGGGCATGAGTCTCGTGGAGAAGAAACTCCGCTTCGGTCTCGTCCGAAGCTTAGAGTAGAATCTAGCGAAGCAATGGGGCTTGCTGAACTATACGAATTTCAGCTGCGATGCTTCTAGCCCAGTCTGAACAAAATTGCGGTCTAGACAGACTCAAGAGCTTGAAGCATGAAGGCATACACAGAGCTATCATGTATATAAACCACTGGTCAAACTCGAACAGAATATGTTTCTTACTCACTCATCACCTCGACTGAAGCAACTTTCACCTTCGCCTATCACTCTACACAGCTTGCAGTCATACAATACTTTTAGAAGAAAATCAGAATCCTCTCACCTCAGGTTCTTAACTTCCGCTACGATGAAGTCCTCCATCATCACTGCCCTCGTCGGCGGCATCATCGCACAACGTGCTGCCGCCACCCCTGCGGACGAACTCTTCGCACGTCAAGCCGGCTGCAACCGTGACAACTGCTTCCGCGCGCTTCTCGGTTCCAAGCCCGGCCCAGCTTCGGCATCGGCAGACTGTTCATCATGGATGCAGGTCACTGAGACTCCTTGCACTTCAACCGCAACCCAGACGGCCACCGTCGTATCGTACACCACCACCTTGGCCAATGCCTATCCCGGGCTCAAGAAGATGAAGCGCGAGGAGATCGAGGCTCGCCAGGCCTTGACCACCACTGCTGCTGCCCCGGTCTGCACACCCGCGCAGAACCGCCCAAGCAGCATGCCGGCCTACGCTGAAACGGGTTGCAAGAGCACCATCGGAACACTCGTTCCCACGGCGCGCTACTCGTCTGCCTGCTCCTGTGACGGCATCACCGCCACAACCACCACGCTGGCTACCCCAGTCACCACCATTACTGTCACGACCACCGTCGAGGCTGCCTTCACGCCCACGGCCACACCCACGGCATTCGTCCTGCAGGGTTCCGGTGACCGGAGCCTGTACGTGACGGTCGATGGCCAAGGCGCGCTCCGCCTCGTCCGCGACGCGTCCGTTGCCACACCATTCTACGTCGACAAGGCCGGACAGATGCGCAACTTGAACAGCCCGGACAAGGTCCTCGTGGACTACTACCAGCCCGACCCTGCCACGGCCAACGACAAGGTTTACAGCGACTTGCAGGGCACCGGGAACTACCCCATCACTTGCTCGTACACCGGTCGCTCTGACGGTGCGTACTACGGCAACTGCCAATCGAGCGGCTCTCCTACTGGAAACCCTGTTGTCTATGGCTTCGGATACTGCCCGAACCAGGGCGGATACGTCTACATGATCCCCAACAACTCGAACGTTCGCTGTGCTGGAGGTTATGCTTTCCTTGGCTTCTGGCTGCAGGCATACACCAAGGCCTGAAGAGCCTAGAAGCTATGTTTTTTGTGTTTTCTATTCTCAAAGAAGACAGTTTGTATGAGACTGTCTCTTGTCAAACAACTCCTTCAGTCAAAGAGGCTATGGGCCTTCAACTTTTCCTTAATTTATAGCTTTTGATAGTTCATCGTGGCGTTTCAAATTCCAATTCATTACAAGTTTAAATGGTTTACTTTGAGAAGATTCAAAGATGCGATGATGCGTGGTTTTCATTATTATGTCGTTCGAAATGTTGGCTAAAAGTCGAAGTTATTGTAAGAGATTCAATTGCCCGCTTGTACTTCAGTCCGCACGCTGAGCCACCAACTCACACTCGATGAGATTCTCAACATGCGACTGGCCGCACTTCCAGAAATTGACGATTCTCAAATTCAAACCGCTCTCCTCAACCAGCTGGTGCCAGTGATCTTCAGTGCGTTCCAACGCCGAGAGCTGGGTCATCATCAGAATATCGCCCGCTGTGGCCTCCCAGTAAGCACCCGTACGCGGAATAACCACCTCAAAAATCAACAATTTGCTGTATCCGGGCTCCATTGCCTCTGCCAGGGAAGCTAGAATCTTCTTGCATACGTCATCTGGCCAGTCGTACATGATTGAGTGCATGAAGTAGGCCTTTACGCCTTTGATAGGCTGCTCGGTCAAGAAGTCGTGTCCCATCAGCTCGATGCTGGTGTCAATGCCCTCAACGTCGTTGATGACGACCGGAAGATCCTAAAGGATGAGTTCCTGCTTGACTGTTAGCAAGGATTCAAGAGAATACAGTGGGCCTCAAGCAAGATAAATCCTGTGACAGGAAAGACTGACGCCTGGATGATTCGAATACATCTTCTTGAAATCGTCAATGTCATGGCCAAGGCCACCGGCCACATCTACCAGAAGTGGTACGTCGGGCGAGGTATCTGCACCTGGGCACAGGATCAATTAAGGAGCAAACCTAGGAAAAAGGTTAATGTGTACGGGTTCACGATGCATGCCAAGGAAGACAGTGAAGAGAGCATTGCAAACCCAGAAAAGAATGCGGAGACATCCTCTTCTGGGCGCCAGAGTGATACGTATCCCGAAAGCGAGGACAAAATTGTCAAGAGTAGCACCCTCACTATTACAAACGACCAGGGAGAAGAAGGATCGACTTCAGCAGCAACGCGATGGGCTGCAATATTAGTTAAGTTAGAGAAGATAGCATCACTGAGAAATGAGTTTAAGGTATCGACGACCCTAGGAACTTAGGGGCAGTGAGGCAATCTTTAGCCAGCGCGACTGCATTTGCCCCCCGGCTTTCAGCCCTTGTTGATCAAGTAAAGTGAGACTGCCGCGTTGCGGGAGACGCCAGTGACAATCCAGTATCGTATCAAAGAACATTGGAACACGCTGAACCAACGGCTGCTACGTCCCAAGAGAATATGAGACGGGGCCGAGCCGCAAAGCCGCCTTCGTTGCGCTGATCTCCTAGCCAGTCAGGTTTCACAAACGTTGCTGAAACAGGTGGGGATCCTCCTCGATGCCAAGACCAACACACGGCAAGAGGCAGCTTTTTCATCCCATGTCCACAAGGCGGGATACTTTAACTCCACGTCAGGCAACTGACAGAAATGCAAATTCGTCTCATAAAAATAGAGGCTCCAAATTCTAGGTTTCCTTACACCTTTAGACACACATGATGCTGTCTTCATCATTGCTGTTCCCTCTCGCGTTCGCGTCTTACACGGTCGCATCAGAGGCCCAAGTATATTTGGGCGGGGTACGAACATGCCCTTGGACACCACTCGAGACGCTCTTAGAATGTTCGACTTGGGACATTGCGACAGAAAGAAAGCAAGATACGGAGACTAGGCAGAGGCAACGGAATGAGACGACAGAAACTGCGCCATTAGGATGGACGGGGCCTCACGGGTGCGTAGGAGCCTACTGCTTATACGCAAATCGCGGCTTTGCAAATGGGCGTGGAATCGTCATCATCTCGACACCGGAAAACGTGCAGAAAGCAAAGAGCTTGGAACAAGACCTGCAGACTCCAAACCGAGAAGATGATTCGTCATCACGGAACCCATCATTCCAGATCGCAGAGGTAGAAGGCAAGGGACTCGGCATCCTCGCCAACAAGACCCTTGCCCGGGGCGACACAGTCATGCTCAAGACGCCAGTCCTCCTCGCCCACCGCGCCTTCATCGAGCGCACGCCAGCAGCAGACCGACGCTTCCTCCTCGACAGCGTCACGAGCTTCCTGCCAGCTGCAACACGCAAGACCTTCCTCGGCCAGATGGGACATTTTGGCGGCCACAAGGTCAGCGATATCATGGCGACTAACTCGTTCCAAATGGACCTTGGCGGCGGTGCACAGGGCGACGGCCACCACTACGGCAACTTCCCCGAGGTGTCGCGTTACAACCACGACTGCCGTCCCAATGTCGCCTTCCGCATCGACGGCCTGCGCCACCGCACCACCATCGTCAGGCCGGTCAAGCCTGGCGAGGAGCTGACGATATCATATCTCGACCAGCTCGGCGTCCGCTCTGTGCGGCAGCACCGCGCCAAGAGGGCGTGGGGCTTCGAGTGCGGGTGCTCGCAGTGCAGCCTGCCCAAGAAGCTCGCCGCCGCCTCGGATCAGCGGCTGATGGAGGTGGAGGAGCTGGAGAGGCAGCTCTCTGATATCGGCGCCAAGGTGACGGTGGCTATGGTAGAGGGATTTTTGAAGTTGTATAAGGAGGAGAGGCTGGAGTCAAAGCTGGCGGGTGCGTATACGACTGCGGCGCTCAACTTTAATCTACTTGGGAGGAATAAGCTGGCTGTCAAGTATGCCAAGCTAGCTGTTGAGGCTGGTACGATTGAGAGCGGGCCGGAGACGGGGGATGTCGAAGCGATGAGGGAATTGGCGGCGGATCCGAAGAAGCACTTTACTTGGAGAGGGAGGCTTAGATGAGAAAGTATTCAATCGAGACTCATGGCCGGCTTATGGTCCTTTGGAATAGACGCCCTCAAGGCTCTCACCCCACTCTTTTCGGCCCCTTACCACTGCCTTTGAGAGCCTTGAAATCGCAGTGAAGTCCGATCAGGTACGGTACATTTGAGACAGCTCCAGTCATCGCCTCAGGGAAGGTTAAAATCGCAGTGAAAGGCCGGAAGAGCCAATCGTTCACAAAGCGCATTGTGGATATCGTTACCTGGTCCAAATCGCAATGAAAGGTCGGAAGAGCCAATCGCACAAAAAGCGCATCGTAGAATATCGTGACTTTGGCGAGGCGAGGGTGCATGTTAGCAAGGGCTCACCCATCCATTCTCTGAACTAGCTGGGTGGTGCCCCATGAAGGAAGCTTTCCATACCGAAGGAAGGAAGTTATCAAGAGCAGACATAGATCTTCACTGCAAAAAGGAAAGCATGGCTCGTGAACTCCTCTCGAGAAGAAGCTCTTAGTCAAGAGCATACCAACAACAGGGATTCATCCCAAAAGGGAAAGCAGCAGAGTCAAGCACCCTGCCACAACCCGAAATGAGACACCTTGTCGTCCTGTCACGGTCAGCAATAACATTAGACACTGCATGCGCACTCCATAGCTCCACGTGGGTCATGATAGACGCAGGTTGACGCAGGTCCAGACTGTAAAGAGCATTCGACCCAGGCAACTCTTAATTCTCGTCGAAACATTCGTTAAGAAGCTGCACAGCAGCTTATTTGAATGTAAAATCTCAGATCCTCCCGTGACGTTTTGTAAAGAACGCGCCCCAGGGCCCAGGCTCGAACGCAGATCCGGGTCCCCACAGGAAGCGGGTTCCCTCATCTAAGTCCAACGGGCCCCATCACGATAACCTTTCGGCAGATCCGGGCTGCGGGCCGTTCAATTGTTTCTCGAATGGTTGCCGCGCGGCGAGTCGGCCGAGCCGTGGTTCTTGGTCTTAAATGTGACACAGAAGCTTGAGGGGAATGCGGCTGTTTTGAGCAGGTTATCCTACGTTGACGGTAGAGCGCAATTCCCAGATCGTCGACTGATTGCTGGGATTGTTCTGGGCTCTGGGTAGTTTCGTGGTGTTAATCTCGTCGGTATAAACCTAAATGACAACCACATCACAAGAGAGATCATCCACAACTAAATACTCTTTAATCTAAGGGCACGAGGAAGAATGTTTTTAAAGTCTGGTAAGGTTATCGTGATCGCTGTTCTACTGCGTAGGGCGTGCAAACGTCCCTGAAGATCGTTTATTTTGGGTCATGGGGACTCCGCCAAGACACCCGAAACGGTACAATGTCAAGCTCTTTCGCTGTTTGTGGTGAGCCCGGTGAGCTCGGTGAAAGAATGATTCGCTGAAAACTGACTCGCCCAACGGCGTGTCCTCGTATGATGGAGAAAAGCTCGGGGCATGAATTTCTGGACCGGCATGCTGTATTATATTGGAAGCCCAATGCAACTTGGGACAGGCGCCCTTCCCCTAGTCGCAGAGAACGGTCTGCCCGCGCCGTCAACTGCATCCAACAGAGAGGGGCGTTCTTCCCTCCCACTTCCTTCTTGCGATGGTGGATGGGTGTCTCACGCGCACAGAAAACGCCGGCAGTCCGGGAGGGAAAATAAAAAGATCGAGATCGAAGACACGGGACGCTAGCCCCAGGAACAAGGAACATGGCGGCAGAGAGGAAAGTCGGCGCCGTGGGCTGGAGAAGGTTCGCTGTGCGCTGGACGTCCTTGTGACGGGATGACAGGCGGGCGGGTGAGAAAGGGACGGGGCTTGGTTGGTGGTGTGTCAAGGTGTGGGGAGGCCCGAGGTGCCGGAGGGCCCACTCCGGCCTGGTCTGGCGAATAGCAATGGCGCTTTCTCGGCCGATGCGGAATTTTTGAGCATCCACCCAGCCACCCCGGCCACGAGCCAGTGACGTAGCTGTGATGGTCCTCGGCGGGATCCACGCTCAACTTCTTGTCTTTTTTTCTTCCCTACTGCGATGTACTAGCCCTAGCACGCCTAGCTTTGAGTCGTATCGCGAATTAACCTTCTGTCCGGCATCGCCAGCTTGTTTTTTCTGATCGTCTAGGCCTTTTGTTATGGAGAAATCTCAATTGGGATACCTGGTGCTGTGCGGGCGACCGACCCCCCGCCCTCCCTTGCTCCTCTCCCGTGTAAGACAAGCCGTAATGTTCCCTCCATATGAGGAAAGTCGAGACCAGGGTTGTGGTTTGATTCATCAAATTCAAACGGGCCTCCTTGCTCGAACTAAAACAATTGATCAAAACGGCGCATCAGAGACAATGGTCCCCGAGACGCGGTGGACCCCGCGTTGGGTAAATAGCTTCTTTGTCTTGGACGTAGGGAATGGCGGTAGAGCTGGAGGTAAAACAAGCTTGAACTAACACTCGCTCAGGCGCAAAAGCTTGAAGTCCCCTCAAACCCGGGTTACTCGCAGTTCGGCAGACCAAGCTACCGAGGGAAAATGCTGCATATCTGCGTCGTAGTCCGTGGTGTTAGTCCAAGATTTACCCTGCAAACTCGAGCGGGGGGGGGGGGGATTCGACCAAGGATTCCGTCTGCCTTTCCTGCGCTTGTTCAATGCTACCCGTCAATGCCCATGGCACGAAGAAAACGTTTCCACTCACACACTTGTTCACTTTGCTCCCCGATGCTGCTGGCTCTCATCACTGGCTCTTCGTGACATCCCTACCCCTGCTTGTCACATCCATAAGGCCCATGAATTGCAGGCCCGGGTTTCCCACCCAGCCCCATTCAATCGTCCTCGCCGGGGGGTGGCCTTTGAGAAGTTCGCTTGGCAGATTTGCAGTGAGCCATACCCATAAGGTTGCCCTGCCCTTCTCTTATTGAAATGCGCTCATTATGGTAGACGGGCGTCATGTTCCTGTCACCAACTACATACTATTTATCACTTGTGTCCTTCCCTCCCCGCTCTTTGCAAGGTCTAGCTCAGCTGTCATCTGAGGTCTCATCTTCCTTCGGGTGTCTGTACTAGACTTCACCCATCATCGGCCACTCACACGTAGCTCCCATCAGTCATACAACATCAGCCATACAACATACACCACCATCCAAAATAAACTTATTCTCAACACCATGGCACCGATAACACCAATCTCAAACACCCTCTCGGCCCTCACCGCAGGCCTCACAAAACGCCACCCATCAGACTTCCTCCCACCAACAAGAACCCTCCCCTCCCCCCTTCGCGCCATCCTCGCCTCCCGCCAAGTCGTCACGACAATCACCTCGACCCCCGAGACGACAGAGGAGTCCGCCTCCAATAACAACCTCAGCGGGGGCGCCATCGCCGGCATCGTCATCGGCTCCATCGCCGGCTTCCTCCTCCTGCTGTGGATCGTCAAGTCGTGCGGCATGTGGAGCCGGCCCAACGACTGGTCCGAAAAGGACGAGTACGACGAGCGCAGTCGCCGGTACCGCGGCCGATCGCCCGGCTCAAGGCATCGCAGACGCACGCAGCACCGGTACCACCACGAGACCTCGAGGCACAGCCATAGCCGGCGCCCGTCGTATGTGGTTGACGAGGTCCGGTACACGCAGCCTGTTGTCGTTGACAAGAGGAGGAGGGCTAGCGGGTCGCCTTTGCCGCCTGCGAATGTGTACCGTAGCAGTCGCAGCAGGACGAGATACTAGACACGAAGGAGGGGAGGAAAGCTGGGCTCCTCTGGTGAGATGAGGACCCAGCTGCATGATTATATGCTGTTGTTGTCAGGTGTCTTCGGGTTAATTCCAGATTCCCGAGGACTTTTGTTTGTGTAACAAAGACACAAGGAGCGAACACAACTTTACGACTTTATGAAATGTATTTATTTGCGTGCGGTACAATGTAATTAGACCTGATACCAAGAGCAAAGTCATCTGTATACATCAAAGAGGTTTCTCCCTTCCACGCTTCGTACATGACATGTGCTAGAATTATTCAGATGCGGTGGCGTTTCGCGTATTCATCTCATATCTTGTGCTTTGAAGTCACATACCACTATCGGAGTGCAAGAGAATACATAAGTACGCAGTGTCGCAAGGTCTGATGTAGTACCAAGTCCATTGTGGACGGAAGAGGATCAAGACTTTGCAACGCCGGTGAGGAAGGAAGCTTATCATCTCGTAAGTAAGTGACTGTCAGAGCAGCGCCCAAGATACCTCAGATTCAATGACTAACACTTTAGATGATGCCTAAGAGGCCTGGGGGCCATGTCTCAGGTTGAACACTGATAATGAAGTAACATTCAGTGACCAAACCTTGCTACTATAGTAGACGAGCTTCCAGCGCTGATTGAGATACGAATCCTATCATTTCGAATCATCACCGTTGTCATGTTACTAGCTACCAAGAGCACTCAGATGTCGCTACAACATCTGCCACATACGAACATAGCCATGATTCATTACCCGCACAAACGGTTAGCTAGAGTTGTAGAGCTGAAGTTGCCTGTATTACCACACAAAGGCATCCCTCCATCTAGTAGAAGGGATTAGAAGCCTTCTATATCCATATAACCCATTGCCTGATCCATGACTCCTAAAAGTGGATGTCTCAATTCCCAAGTATAACGCCATTCCCATATTCTTCATCATAATGTTGACAGCACAGAAAGCCCGGATGCTTAGCTCAGCCCGACTTCGTCTTGTTCTTCTGAACCCAGTCGGCCCACTTCTTGTATTCGCCATACTCCAAAGACTCCTTCTTACCCTGATATCGCACGACCTTGAGCTCGACGTCCTGCCACTTGCTCTTGCTGCCCATCCACCCCGCCTTGCGCATGAGGCTCACCAGAGTCTCCTCCTTGGTCCACTCCTGCTCGACGGCGACGTCGGGGAGGTATGTCGCGCCGTAGCGTTTCCCGTGGTAGAAGAAGCTGATGCGCAGGCCGTGCACGCCGAGGGTCCAGTCCATGGCGTCGTCGGCGTCCTCAAAGTCGGTGAGGAGGGTGACGGCGACCTCGAGGGAGGGGAGCTCGGGGGCCTCGACGGGCGGGAAGCGCATGTCGTGCAGCGCCGAGGTGAGGGCGTAGCTCGACAGGCCGTCGGCGAGGTCTTGTGCTTCGAAAGTGCCGATGCAGCCGCGCAGTGAGCGGTGGCCCGAGCGGGGGGAGACGGTGTTCCAGGTGACGAAGAGGGGGGACTCGGAGATGCCGTCGGTTTCGTCGTCTTCGGCGAGGGAGTCGGCGGAGGTTGCGGGTGTCTCGGCGGAGAGGGAGATGCTAGAGCCGGAGGAGGCCGAGGCGGAGTCGCTGGAGGGTTCGGCAAGGCGTTGCAGGGCCGGGAGGAGCTTCTTGCCGTCCTTGCCGTCACCGAGGCCGGGTGACAGGGTTTTGGCGTATTCGGGCCATGACTGTTTGATCTCCTTGAGGGACAGTCCCGGCCGCTTCTCCAGGTGCGAAGCCAGAGCCTCGAAGCAGTAGAGGCAGTGTTCCACGGAAGCCATGAGCTCGTTTCAAAAGAATCCGGCGGGTGGTGTGAGGTGACAGTGGTGGCGATGGTGGTGGCGTGTCTTGGGAGCTACAGAGCGTTCCAAAGAGTTGTTCGGGCTGGCGACCGCACGAGGTTCAGCAGGGGACGCGGAGATGGACGAGTTATGCAGTATTTGAGTACGAAAGAGAAGGAGATGAGGATGGCGAGGAAAGCTTCCCCCAAGTGAGGTCAGCTTGGGCTGGGAGGGGCTGCCTGCCTCTGAGCATAAGGTAAGGTAGCTAAAGGTGCTGATCGGGGGTACGTACCGCTTCAAACCCCACTTCAGATAACGGAACCCCGCGATTTGGCCCCGGCGGTTATGCAGTTCTGGGGCAGTTATGTCGCGACATGTCACTGTGCACAATTTGCATAGCTCGGTTATGCCATGCTGTGCCGTGGCTAACACAGGCTTACTGCGCCATATGACTTGCGCCACATATCATCAGCCACACCCGTTTTCTGGATGACTAAGTTCATGAGTGCCCGGGAACAGAAGTCTAGGAGGGAGCAGACGCTAAAAATACTAACGGGCCGCTCTAATGATTTTCCCGCATCAAACTCTCCCTGACGTCGATGTAGCAAGGGTCCGCCAGTTTCGAAACACCCCCTGAACAGGAATGACACTGGTCCGAACGCCTTCTTCATCCCGTCATTCCGCTGTCGAAGAAGTGAGCCGCCCCCTGGAACCGGTCTGTTCTCTACGCCTCTCCTGTCTCTCGCAAGGACGAAAAAGTCTGGACCATCCCACGTCCCGGGAGCGCCATTCCCACTGATCAACCTCAAAGCCAAGCTTCACGAATAAGGTACACCGGGGTGAAGACTTGGCAACTTGCAGCGGCCGGGGTAGCGTATGCCGCAGTCCCTCGACTCCCTCTTCGAAACCCCGCCTTCCCCTGCTGACTTTGCTACCGGAACTTGCTGAAAGCGAGCGGCTTACTGTCTGATCTTCGCTCGTCCTAGCCTTGGGCAACAGGGGTTGCGGCTTGCGAGAGAGGAGGATCGATGGGCTTCTGTGGCAAAGGCACTCATTTTGACTAGTGGGGCCACTGCTACGCGGCTTCTTCGTCACAGCCCAGTTTCAGACGTTGCCCCATCGTCCCCTCTGGGGTCCTCTACTCCCGCGATCAAACCTCACCCCAATAAGATGCCGATCTATCCACTTACCTGACGTGGGCTTGAAGCAGACACCAGGCGGACAGGCTGGGGAAGATGGAAGAGATGAGGACAGAGGAGGAGGAGAAGTCTCCAGATGATAGGGATGGGCCAGTCAATCAGCTCCATATCCCATGGTTTCCTCAACTCTCTTGTTCCAGGTCTTGGCACCGTTCCTGTAAGTGCAGATGACACGCCGGGAAGTCCCTTGTTTTCACCCACATCGAACTTGGCCTCGTCTAGAAGAGCTCGCGGCTGCCTCCTTAGCGGACGACCAGGGCTATTGAAAGTTGCGAGGGCAGGCGGGTCGCGGCGACCATGGCCAGGGATGGAACCGGGCGTTGGGAAGCCCTGACCGCTTGGTCTCAACTTCATGGTGCGGGAGCGACAGGACTGTAAAGTTCCAGTCAGAATTTGGATGGCAGATCTGCGTGTGTGTGGCCGTGTAGCCGTGCGCTATCGGTGTTCCTCGTCTATAGCGTCCTTGTCTGATGTGTGATGTCGATGGTGATACTTGGCACAGAGAGACCCCCCCTGAGGGGACGGGGGGCGAAAGTAAGGTATGTGGGCTTCATCGATAACATACAAATACGTCCGTCTCCTTGCCGTGTTCTGTTTCTTTCGATCTTGCTAGTCATCCAACACACTCTCTCAACGTACTTGACTTTACAACCTTCTCTTCTTGTATAACTTATCTGCTCGTCGCCGGCCGACCACTCGTTCCAATCAACGACTTTTCCAACCAACCGTCAAAATGAAGTACTCCGTTTTCACTCTTTTCGCCGTTGCCGCTGCCTTCGTTGCTGCTGCTCCGACCGAGAGTATGTTGCCATCTCGATTTGGCTATAATGGATGAAGCTTAGGGAATACTAACATGAGCTCAGTGGTCGAGAAGCGCCAGGCTGCTTCCACTGTTCCCGTCAACGAAGCCGCCATGACGGATGCCAACGGCAACATCGTTCCCTTCAACACCGCCGGCGTTTACCAGGCCAACAAGGAAGCCGGTCTCTAAACAATCAAGCCAACCCGACTTAAAGAGAAGGATTGGGAAATAGAGCCCGACGGACACTATCACGAACTGCAAAACGACAACACAATATTATTAAAGACGTCCATAAACTCGTAATCTGGCGGCAATACCGGTATGGAGGGTTACAGGGCGATATAGGCATCATGGCAAATCAATCAATGATTTTGGCTTTACTTTGAATTTTGGGACCGGATTCAACGGAATGGGTGACAGACAATATCCCCCCGCCTTCTGTGGCAGATAATTCTGAAATATAACCTGGCAGTCAGTAGCACGCCGCTATGCGGTTGTCACTGGCTTCCAGTCTTTTCTCACAGGAGTCATTCTTGCAGTACCCCTCGCGCTCTCTCCTTTCCATGCTTGCGTCAGCGGCATCATCTCTGATGTGTGTCAATCAATGCGCCAGCCGAACTGTCACTCACCATCCATCATGTCAAACTGATTCGGCAGGTGATCAGCCTCTCGAACATAACCGGAAGAGGAAGTGTCCCGACGACGGTTGCTATTTTCTGCTTCCTGGGAACTTAGGAATACCCAGGCTCGAGGAAGACCATTACTTGGCTGTAAGCTTAAACGCGCCAAACCCACTCCATGTGGGCGGTGGCAGGGGTACGCCTGAGAGGGGCAGCATGCGCAGCTCGCTTCAGACGCCTAGCGCAGTGGGCACAACGGCCTGTCTCCACGAGTAGTGAGGAACTGGGGGTCCGGTTTTTCGTCTGGTCGCTCAGCCACGCTTCATCGTCTTGCGAAGCGGGTTCTCTTCCTGCTTTGATACAGCTGCTCCGCTGAATAGCCTGCTGCGTTGCGGACGGGGCTCGGTAATGCGAGTGCCTGTTTCTGAATGCTCCATGGATTCATTGTTTTTCCAGCGAGCCCCATATGTCTGGATTGTAGGCTGAGTGCAATCGCTGTCACGGCAATGCTGACCCGAGTCTCTGGTCTGTTGGGGCTGTTTGGCAACAACAGACAGGGCCGCTCCACACCGCCTATATGCAATGGTCGAAAGTCGATAAGAAGAGGTCGGGATCATTTGCGGGCTCAATAGAGTTTGTGTCTGATGTTTCGTTGGTGTTGGGGCGATTGTTTGGGGGCGTGATGCATCGCAGACAAGGACGTTACATTCCGGGCATCTGGGTCGTTGACAACTTCAGAGTTGCTCAGTTGTCGGCTGATGGAGGACGATCCAACGAAAGTCAATTGTCGATGATACTGCTTCTTGACAAGCTGACGTCTTTGACATGAACGTGACGGGACGGGCGGAGGACAAGGATTACTGCTTTGGCATGGCCAGGCGTCCGATTCGTGCCTTTGGCGAGTTCGTTATCGTCTGAAACTGACTGCTTGACTTGGCTGCTCATCAAGTCATGCCAGCCGGTTGCCGTTCTATAACGGTGTGCTTGATGCCCTATGGCGATCTTTCATGCTTCCGCATCACTTTTCCCGCCGTACCAGGCGTTCAGATGATGTCTTCTCATTTGATCAGCACACGAACGGAAGCATTGACGTTGAGTCTCCCAATTGAGACATTATTTGGGTCGTCTAAAGGAAAGATTTAAAGTTGAACAGGTAAGGGAAAAAAACTAAACAGAGATGGAAGGCACAGACGAGAGACAAGGTGGCGACCCACTTTCTACCTTAGTTTCCATCGTTTGGGAAGGCTCGATGGCTAAGGTAGGTATTGCAGTGCACAGCCCTCTCTCGTCACCTCAGGCGTTGACTCACTTGCTTCTTCCACCGTCTTCCAATTCCGCGCTCACCTCCAAACGTGTCTTGGTCGTTTCTTTTTACCAAGACTGTCTGGTAGCCGATGGTCTCGACTGCAGACAAACTAACAATAATCTTCCGAGCTCCCTACCCTACCCTGCCATACCACAACATTGCACCAACGACCCAAACGATGGGTACTTGTCCCGTTGCGTCGGGCTCCAGAGTCACATCCAATGCAACCAAGTGGATTAGGGACAGACCCAACCTCAATTAAGCTCGTCGTAAACAATCCGGCCTCGCCATGGCATCTCACCTTTCCCATCTACAGTCCTCATCGAGATAAACTCGCGCAAATTCCTCGTGGAAAGCTGCAGCCTTGACGGATCACAGCCTCCCCGTTCCATGCAAGGACAGCATAAGAGATGAACAGATTGCAATAGAAACCAGGAACCGGACGATGTCTCTCGTCCCTGGCGTCAGCAGTGAGACGCTCAAATTAGCCTTGAACTAGACCGCTTTCAACATTTCTCCCCACCCTGTCAGCCCTGCTGAAAATGCCGTTGGTTTCTTGGGGAGGAGACCAGAGCTCAGAACAGGCTGAACAGCCAAGGAGAAGTCACCACATCATCAAACAGACCAACAAGACCGGCCAGTCACCCACGTTCGGATGTTGGACCAGCCAGTTAGTGGGAATCCCTCCCCACCACGACTTTCACTAGTTACAGCAGCCCTCGATGGTTCTGTTTCGGAGACTAGCGCCCCCAGAACGAACAAAACGTGTCTGCCTGTGCCGCAAAATGATACAATCTCCAATGGTGTAGGCGGGGAATTTTACAAGTGGACCGGTTTTGGTTGATTTTGCCTGCGCAGCCACCACAAGCGCGTCTCATGCCCATCGACAGCCGATCCTGAAGGAAGACGACAAGCGCGTAGCGAGCGTAGCGAGATGAAGTTGGAGCCAACCCTTGATCTGCCCGACCCTCCACCTCGCTATAGAGAGCCGAAACTCTGGGACTCGCATTTCCTGTTTTGTTCGACATCAGCCAGGCTGTGAAGCTGGGGGTGCGCATTTGTTGGCACTGCGAATCACCTGAACGAGAAGGACTTTGCAGCCATCTGTTCGAGGCACTGCGCTTGTTGCCCGCTATGCTGTTGTCTGCCATGCTGACAGCGCAGCGTCCCTGACAGTAGTAGGATGCTCTGCGAGGGACGAGGTAGGCATGAACTGATGGCCAGGGCCGCTTGCCTGATCGAGTGATATCGATCGCAGGGCCTTGACCTCAGCCGCAAACGCCATCCGATGCCTCAAACAGTACAGAGTAGCGGGTGGGACGGCAACATTCCACCATTCGGCAAGATACTCGCCCTTGCGTGGTAGTCCACGGAAGGGAGCCGCGCAGGCATAGGGGTGGTAGCTATTCTCGCGGGAAGGCGTCACGGCGTTAATCTCCTCATGGCCCGAGACCCTGAGATCACCCTAGCTTAGCTGCTAGGCTCCAACAATCCAACGATGACTAGCGGAGGACCCCCGTTGCTCCCAACGTTCCCACTGCTCAGACTCCTTGAGTCCTTCCCCAAAGGTATCCATTACGCCCCCGATCAGTGCTAGGAGCTGAACTGGGCTGACAAGGGGCAGCTCACTGCGGGAACCGGAAGGGTCTGTCCAATGAAACAATCGTGGCTGTATACAGAGTACGCTTCACCGCTTTCAACCTGGAGTAGAGCGGCCCCAGATGCCCTGATGCCCAGCCAATCCGCCTAGGGCAGAAGCAAGTTGTGACTAGAGAGGTGTTTCCTGGACAGGGCTTAGTGTCCCTCGATATACTGCAGCCTGGCTGGGAATTCCTCTTGCTCATTTCAGACGTCCCGGCTTTCTGGAAGAGGTGGTTTTATATATAGCAATTTGCCGACAAACTCGAATCAAGCAACCACCTGCCACCTGGGTCGCCTCATCACAGCCTCCCTTTCCGCGCTTCTCGGGCCCTGTTCCGACTGACTACCCCTGTCGTCATTGTTATGATTTTCATCCTGTCTAAGACCCTCAGCTTATAACTCCCTGTGTTCGCCTTGAGTCCAGACTAGTCTTCCTCAGCCTCGAACAACAACATCAACTCCGGCGACCCGAGTCAAAACCCTCCGAGGAACATCATCCTTACCACATACAAGAAACCGCAGCAATGGTTCTACACCGCCAACAAGCTCAGTTCGACCGGTCAAGATGGCGCATGGCGCTGCTTGTGCCTCTTTGGATCCTTCAGTTGCTAGTCTTCCTCGTCGTCATCGCTCTCTTCTCTTGGCGCCTATCGGATACTCTTAGGAACTGGGAAACCGAGGAGGAAACAAAAGGGATGTTTCCCATGGTAGAGGTCGTGTAAGTCAGGGTTGGGACTGTGTTTACCATCAAGTTCGTGTACTGACCCGGGTATAGTTGGGAATCTGTCAACATCGCCTTTTCCCTCGTCTGCCTATTTTCCACGTTTTACGAAATCTCAAAGCTCGCCGCCGAAACCCTGACGCCATGGACCATGCTTTTTACCCACATTTTGAAGATCGTCTGCTCCCTGGCCGTTTTGGCCCTCGATGTTGTGGTATTCGTGCAGAGAAAGGACAGCCACTACTCAGTTGTTGGTCTCGGCTTGGATTGTTTTCTTCTGTAAGCCACGTCGATAATCATGACTCTCTGAGGGACACAACTAACAACACACAGAATTCTCGTCGCCATACCAGGCGTTTACTCGATCCAGACGTATCGCCGACTCGTCAAGTACGACGACTACCATTACCCCGTAAACCACAAGCCCTACGGCTTCAACGACCTCGAAGGCGAGACCTCCTACAATGGTCGTCTTTCCATCGGCGGCCTTAGCCTTGCAGACCGTTCCCTCCGCCGGATATCCACATCCTCAACAAAGTCATCGCTTCAGAAGCAAGAAACACAACAGACGGCACAGCAACAGCAACAGCAGGAATCCGAAGCAACATCCCTACAGCGCAGACCCTCGCAGTATAACAACGAAAGAGACACGCAGTTCGATAGGTATATGGTCGAACGCGCCATGAGTAATGAGTTTGGGTGGGCGAACAACAGCAGCCCCGGCGCGGATCCCCTTGGCCGAAGCGACAGCTATGTCGGCAGCGGATCCATGTCAAACGGAAAGGTCGTTACGAGGGAGAGCATGGGACGCGCGCCGAGCTGGGGCAGCTCGCACGTCCTCGTCGCCGTGCCAGAGATGGACGAGGAGGAGGCGGTGCATGGTCGTGGGGGAGATAGGCAGGCGCTTCTTGGACATCGGAGGCAGGACAGCGACGATAGTGTTGTCGGACCCAGCAGCCCACCAATCTTGTCGGCTATGCCGCCGCCGCCGAGGATCGAGATTGAGGAGTCGGATATTGTTGGCGGCGGTGCTGGAGACAACACTTGGGAGCGGAAGCGCAAGAGGAGCCAGTGATGCTTCCATGGTTTTCCAACTCGCAGAGAGAAAAGGCGGATGATTGAAAAAGGTGGACGGATATACCCTTCTGATTTTCGAATTGTTTTCTTTCACTTCTTGCACAGACACTCGGTGTCTGCTTGCAAATTTGTATACTTTTCATCTCATTATATCACATGGCTCACGGCGTTCTGGGTGTTGGATCAGACGACGCCAAAAGGGGGAAAAGATGGGATGGAAGAGAGACCCCAATGTTAACGAGCCACGGCTTGATTATATATCACTCTCGCTATCTGAAAAGACACATGACTGAAAATCGTTACACTGTATACAGTTCTGTTCCCTCTACTTGGTCTTATTATGCAAAAATGCCTCCCTTGGCAGGGTCCGAGTGGATGTGCGTCTTGCACGGGTATCATACATGAGGTCCATAGTCATAACTTCGAGAGAATATGGATCCCAGGTCAGCGTGCTTGACTTGGTTTGCTTGCTGACATCAAAAGCCTTCCTCTTTACAGAACCCTAATTCTCTTTCCGCAAATCACTGCTCACCCTTCGGCTATGGCACCTCGTCCCCTTTGCAGGCAACCGTTTCCACGCCAGAAAAGATTCTTTAAGCGAGCGAAGCACACGCACGCACACATGAGCACGTAAACGACCAGTATAAATATGCTTTATCTTAATTGTGGACTTGGTCTTAGATCTCTCTCACTTCCCATACCCGCTTAAAGATACCCTACAAGGATACCCATCCGTAGGATGCGCAGCGCCCGCCTCCACCATGAAAACCCTCTGCCCACCCAACCCGCTCGTATCGATCTTCCCCTCACCGCCGTCAATCTCGCCATAGCAATCCCGGATATCAAACTCCCGCACCACGCACGCCAACACGGCCCTCGCCTCCGTCATAACAAGCTGCTGTCCCACACACAACCGCGGCCCGTACTCGAAAATCCGCCAGCCACCCTTGGGCGGGTGCAGCTCATGCTTTGGATCCGTCACGAGCCATCGCTCGGGTACGAACTCGTCCGGCCGAGCCCAGTATCGCGGGTTCCGGCCAATGGCCCAGTGCAGCATGTCGACGGCGATGCCGTCCGTCGGATAGGCGTTGCCCTCGGCGTCGTGCAGGACTAGATCAGCGCAGCCCTGGCGGATGCCGCCTGCGGGCGGGAAAAGGCGCAAGGACTCCTTGATGCAGGCGTTTGTGAAAGGTAAGGCGTTGAGCAGGGCCGGGGTTTCCGCGATTTTGGCCGGTGCCGCGTAGACGTCGGTGCTGAGGACGGCGTCGTGTTCTGCGCGGACGCGGGCGAGGATGGCAGGGCGGGAGGCGATGTTGTGCAGGCAGTAGACTATCGTCGCGGCGGAGGAGTCGTAGCCCGCGAAGAAGAACATGCGCATATTGCGCGTCATGAGGGAGAGGTAGGAAGCGTCGAGCTCCTCGCGACCCGCGTTCCCGGGTTGCGCGAGCCAGTTCTCGAGAGCGCTGTCGAGGACGGATTGGAAGTTTTCCGACTTGTCGCGGTTGTGGGCTTTGTTTTGCAGAAGGGTGGCGAAGCGGGCGTTGATTTGGTGCTTGATGTGGTTGTCGAGGATGCGCCCCCCGTTCCAGGTGCGGAAGAGGAGGAAGGGGTCGATGGGGGCTAGGAGGTTCTCGGGCTTGTGGGACGTGAATTTGAGGCGGAGCTGGCCCTTCATTGCCTCGGCGAGGGGATGTTGCTGTTTCTGGGTTTCGAGGCGGACGTTAAGGAGGACTTCGCCGATGACGTCGGTGATGAGGTCCAGCATCAGGGGTTCCAGCCTGAACATGTCTCCCTCATCACCACCACCACCATCGCCCCCGGAGGTGGAGACCCTGGCGCGCAGCCGGTCGGTGAAAGTGGCAATGTTGCCGAGGATGATGGGCACGGCGGCGGTGATGTTCTGGTTGCTGAAGCTGGGGTTGAAGAGGGCGTGGAGGTTCTTCCACGGCCGGCCGTTTGTGTCGAACTGGCTCGGCCCGCCGGTGATGGGGTGGAACCAGCCGACGAGCATGGGGGGCTTCTGGGCGCCGGCGACCGGGTGGTAGACTGTCTGGTGGGCCATGTCCGGGTCTGTGACGACGAGCATCGGGTCGGCCATGGGCCAGGTGTCGATGTAGTAGGCGCCATTTTTGCCGTGGAGCTCGCCCAGGCGGGCGAGGGCGTAGTTTGCGTGGACGCCCGGCGGAAGGGTGTCGAATGCTTTCTTGGCCTCGAGGAGATTGCCGAAGAGGAAGCTGTGGGGGACAATTGGCTGTGTTTTGTGGTTAGTCTGATGTGGACGTTCATGATAGTCTCTCATGACGTGATGGAGCGCGATGAGAAGGGCGAAGGAGAACTCACCAGTCCCTGCTTCCTCAGCTCAGCCATCTTGCCCCGGTGCTTCCTCAGAAGCTTAAAAAAGTATAACACCGATCCCACGGCGGCGACTAGGACGGCCGCCGTGAGAGACCTCAGGATGTAAGCCAAGACCCCGTCCATGTTGTGCAACTCAAACTTGATGTTGAATGTGCAAGATATGTCACCGGCCGCTGAATGTCTCGAGAGTGTCAGCCACGTCGTGTTCCACTTGGTGCCAGCTGTGATATGTTGCAGAGTTGCCCAAGTAATCTCCAAAAAAAAAAACGCCTCCCACCGTCGACACCGTCGTCGCGTGGCACAAAGTGCAATTTCACCAACGGTTTCCGCGTGCGACGGTGCGCGGCTGAATTGACGTTTAAACTTTTGTTGAAAGAAAATTGTCCCGAGTATTTAAGCAGAGATATTTTGAGATGCAGTGGAAGAACAAACGGCGCCGTCAGTGGATGAGGTCCGCTCCGATTTAGGCTCCCGCGTAAGCATTGACTCCGTATCCGATGCTCCGTACGGAAACCTACGTCTTTTATTCACCTGATTCGTGATAAGCTAGGTCGCTTTAAGGTTCGCTAGAGCCCTATTGACCATTCCGTAGGTTACGGATAGCTCAGGAGGATTCAGGGGCCCCATTTGGGATTGGAGGCCCAGAGGGGTTGTCACTTGTCAGCAAATCATCCCGGGAAATTAAATCACCTTCCACAATGACCACAGCACCTGAGTAGGTTCGCGATAGACGAGATTGCATCAAATTCACCGTTTCGTCAAAGTTCAATGTAATAAAAGATTCAAGTTGGGGTATCTAATAATGCCTCTAAAGTGATGAGTGTCAGAATGCAAATCCCAATTTCTTTTTTCGAAGAGAATCCCATGGTACGCCAGTGTTGTTCTGTGTTGCCTTTTCCTTTCCTTTTCTTTCCTAATTCCGTGATTCCCAGTCTCACAAACTCCCGTTCCCAGAACCCAATGCCAAGGAGGAGCGTTGAGTGATCCCCCCAGGCAACAAAAGAAATAACGCTGCAGAATGCTGCCTTTCGAGTCTGCGAGGCGTTGACCCTGGCGCTGAATGATTCATCGAGGGACTTTTGCTCCTCGGGCTTGTTGTTGTTGTACAAAAAGTATACGTGTTGCGATCCGATGCAGCCACAGCGACAAGGGCATGCGGGAGGATTCCCATCGGCTCATGGCGCAGAACAAGGCTTGACTATCCTTCGAACTAGATGGCTGATGTTGAGAGATTGCACATGTGAAAGCTGTGTTGCTTTTGCAGTCTCGTGCCCACCATGGCCAGATTGCATCGGCAGATGGCTGGCAAATAAGATAGCCCAGTAAACGACTGTCTCTACCTCGGCACACCGCCGGCGAGGCCAACAGCAACGGACGATGTCAAGAATTCCAGGTCGTCGTATGCCTGACGCTTGCAGCCCCGTGGCGGCTTACCCTTGACAAACCCGTGGCTGTAAGCATCGCCAAGGACGCTCAGGTCTGTCGTCGAGTCTTCCGGCTGATCAAGTCTTCGCACGACAACCAGGGACGACGCACGGGACATCATCCAGATCTCATCGCCGGGCCTCGTTTGGTTGGGAACCAGCACTAGAGCGCCGTGATCCTGGGTCAAGGCTATGCGGCGACTGCGGTCCTTCACAAAGGTCTCGAGGAATGGGATGATGGGCTCTGTGCTTGCGGCGAGGGGGCCTCTGCCTGAAGCGGCGTCGGAGAGCAGATTTCTGTCGTCGAGAGCCCAGAATTGGCGGAATGAGTCAGGGTCTTCGCCAGCGCCCACGGCTTGCTCGAAATCGCCGAGGCCGGTGAGACCGTTGAGAACTGGGCTCAGAAATCTGCTGAATGACTTGACGGTCTCGTCTCTGGTGAATCCTTCGGGATACCGGTCCGTAGTTATCTTATTGAGGTTGTCGCCTGACAATGTCCGCAAAAGGGTGTTCATGTGATGCTCCTCATCAGCGTTAGGTGAGCGCATCTTGTAGACGAGGGTCAGGAGCTTGACTAGCGGTAGAAGCTCCTTCATGTGAAACAGCTCTTCGGATATCTCGACAACGGTGTCAACGTAGGTGCCTCCGAGCTGGACCTGCTCCGAGAGAAGATTGCTGGCAGGCATCGTCTTGTCGAGTGAGAGATTCCTCGTCGTGTGCGTGTGCGTGAGTGTGGGCGAGTTGGAGATGGGATGGACGGTGGAATGGGTGGGTGAAGTGTGTCGATGAAGAGTGACGAGAACAAGAACAGGCGCGGAAACTGGGCGTGGCAGGAAGGGGGCATATATCAAGAAACGAAGGGCCCAGACTGTCGTCACTGTCCACAACGGCGGGTCATAGTGGCCTTATCTAGACGAGCTATGAGTTTCCGAGCTGCCGGGAGTCTGGCAGCAAGGGTTTGGTACGGATACATGGGAGAAGACAAGGGGACGAAGTGCTCTGTACCCCGTACCGGTAGGTAGGGTATTGTTGTGTAATTACACGAGAGAGACTTGAGAGCGCGCTTGCGCCTGCTTCTTCCTATCCGGGGAGCGAGTCCGGGGAGACTAAGTTGGCGTGGTTGCGTAAACCGGCGGGGCCCACTGGATGGGAAGGGCAGGATGTGCGGGTTGGAGTGGACTTGGTGCCGGTACTGACGGGACCAAGAGGATCACGATGTCATGCGTTATGGAGACTGGTGAAAGCTTGAATATCGTTGGAGCTGTAGCTAGGTGAGCTGTCCGCCCTGTATCTAGCTACGGATACTTGTATAGTGTATGTGTGTGTGTGTGGAATGGCGGCCATTAGTCGTGCAGAGAATGTCAGGATAAAAGCCTGGTGTCAAGGTTCGCATCAGCCGCTTGGCACTGGGGTAGTCTGCATCTTGGTAGCCGCATTGTGACTGGCTTACTGCGAGGTACAGACGGAACGAATGTGTGCAGATGTAAGTGCATGTGTAGCGAATCCCAAGGTGAAGTAAGCAAGGATGAGATTGGAATCAGATCTCTGTGCGACGGCACATCCAAGCCGTACGAGTAACAGACAAAGTAGACAAGGCAGACTCGCGCTGACGGGGAGATGGAAAGATGAATAAAAGTTTGAGCCTTGAGGTATCCGTAAGTTGGTCAGGTATCAGGTAAACGGAAAGCAAGGCGCAGACGTACACTGTGCAGTAAGGGGGGAGAGACGGAAAAAGTCTGGCAGAGATGACGTCGAGAGGGGGTTCCGCTTTTGACGGGTCCCCGTTGCATTAGCGCTGCGTCTCCGTTACCAAGTGAGGTACGTTCCCAAGAAGTTAGGGGCAGGAACCGGGCACACGGACATTTTAGTGTGCCTTCCTTGCTTGCCTGCCCTTGCCTCTGCCCTTGCCAGCCCCTTGACTCTGAGCCCCTGCCTGCCTCATGTCGGGTCGCTTCAGGGTCCGCTCATCCAATGTCCAACGTTGGAACCGGGAACTTGTTCACGGACGCATCAATTTGATCAAGCACATGAAGCACAGTCCTTTGAGTCCGTCCGTCAATTTCCAGCCGCTTCTTCATTTCTTCATCTCGCCTGAGACGCAACATCAAATCAGATACACATGTCCACGAGATCAGTTCTGTTTACAGCAATCAACAACAACCCTAGCGAGTCAGCAGAGGCATGCGAGATATGCCGACGCGGAATGCAAGCCAAGCTCTTGGGCAGTAAATGTGCAAAGGAATAAGCTGACGACTGACTTGCTGTTCAAACGTTCAGAGTTCAACGCTGATGTCAACCTGTCTCGCTTGTTCCGGCGATGCGGCACGCACCAACGAGTACCTATCCGTATGTGCCGTGCCATACGGTGCAATTCGTCGGCCACGGTGATCTGCCAACCCCGCGTTGATCACTCCCACGTCTCTCCCTGTCAGCCAACTTCAGACGATTCAGATCCTTCAACGTCACCCGTGTCGTGTCGTCTCGTCCAGCTCGTACCATCATCGTTGTTCTCGTTCGGCTTCAATCTATCGCTGCTGGTAATACATCCTCAAGAGTCACCAATATGGTCAAAGTCCTCATCATCATGGCCGACTACGGCCATGATCCCACAGGCAGGTGATCTTCATCATCCTCAACGCCAAGTCCCCGACATCGTCCCGGTCCTTGTCAGACTCCATCTCCATCCCCCTAATCCTGTAGCCCCGCACCAGCTCCAATCGTCCAAACATGGCAAATCCCTTACTCAACGGGATCTGCGTTACGAACCGCAAAGCTAATCTCTCCCGTCTTGCTTCGCAGAGGTTGCTATCCCCTACCAGACCTTCAAAGATGCAGGATTCGACGTAAACTTTGCAACCGAAACGGGCTCAATGCCCCGCTGCGATGCCCGCATGCTCGAGGGTCTTTCCCAGAAGTTTCTTGTACGATGACTCTCTTTCGCAAGATGTTGCAAACGTCGTCATTGTTCGACGTCGACACAATTGCACCATGAGCGCTTGCAAATTCCTCCCTTAGCCAATATCCCGCATCTCTCCCACCCGCCGAGGCATGGCAATCTGGTGATGCAGTTAGAGTTGACCTGCTACCCGTCTAACAGGGCGCCGCGGCCTCCACGATAAAGCTCCACGATACGATGGTCAAATCTGCCGAAATGCAGAACCCCCTATCCTGGACTTCGTTGGGCTTTACGCTCGATGACTTCGACATTGTGCATATTCCCGGCGGTCACGACAAGGAAGTGAGGCAGCTCATGGACTCGACCACCGCGCAGAAGCTGCTGGCCGATTACTTCCCCCAGACCAAGAAGCCGGGCAAAAAGATTGTCACGGCTATCTGCCACGGTCCGCTGGTGCTCTGCAACACCAAGAGCCAGGACGGTAACAGTGTTCTGTATCACTGCACGACGACGGCACTCCCCGGATGCTTCGAGTCGCTGGCGTATCATGGAACCAGGCTATTTCTGGGCGACTACTATAAGACATACGGTGCGGGCACAGAGAATGTCGAGGATTCGGTAAGTATACAGCTCAAGTTATGGAGGACGACTTGTTCAAGTGCTTATGGTGTCAGATGCGCAAAGTGGTGAAAGATCCCAGTCAGTTCAAGAGCAGCTGGATGCCCAGCCGACCGTTCGTGTCTCCCCCCTCCGCGGATGCAACAACGATTGCTAAATATCCAGCACAGCTTCGTCGTGGAAGATACAGAGTACAACTACATCAGCGCGCGCTTTCCTCCTGATGCGGCAAAACTAGCCGAAATGACTGTCAACCTTGCCCATCTCATACACGTTCAAGGCTTCAAGGGTCAAGACCCGACTACGGCATAACATGCCGAACATGCACTAAACTTTTAAGCTTGTCGTCTACGTGGCATCATTCTCGCATCCGTCGTCATCATCAACGCTAGAAATGCGCATGGTAGTTGCAGCCGGAGATCGGAAGTTGAGACTTGTTCGACTGTTTCGCTTGTGAATCGGCTTGCGTACTGTAGGGGTCTTGATGCGACGGGCCCATTGTGTACGGATTCCCAGTCTGAATGACATCAATGTCGTCATGGTGATCTATTCCAGTGTTTGAAAGTTTGGGGAATAGGACTAGCACTGTGCTCCGGCTTGAAATAAGCTCAGAAACCGTTGCCAACGTGATGTGGATACTTGGGGTCCAGCATGATGCTTGAAGTGAATCCTTTTCTCCGTCTTGCAAAGCGACACCGAGGCGGCAAGTAGAAACCTTGCCAGATCTACAATCTTGAGCGGCTGTTTTCCTCATGGCTAGTTTCCGAGCTCCGCAATTCTCTGTAGAGCTTCATCAACCCCTTGAGCAACGATTGTCGGCTCAGTGCCAATGACGCTTCCCAGTGCATCAATCCATCCCGTCCCGGCCCTGTCGATCCATGCAGACTGCCACCCGGCCGCTCTCGCTCCGAGTGCATCAAACGGATTTGAACTCACAAGCCAAATGTCGCCTTCTCTGCCAGTCATACCCACCTTCTCCGCAAAGTGCCGGTACGTCGCAGGAGCGGGCTTGAAGCAACGTGCCCCTTCCACCGTCACCAACTTCTCAGGGCCAAAGATACGGCTCTTGCGTTGATTGATTTCGGGGCAGGTTCTGATGGATGCGCTGACCATGTCATCCGTCCCGTTGGAAAACACGTACGCGTCGATGGAGCTGTTCCCTTCGACAATGCGCATCGCCGACTCAATGTCCGAGAAGGCTTGGAGACCGTTATAAGCTTCTATAAGACGGTCCTCGTCCTGCTTTGAGAGAGTTGGCTTCTTTCTCTCCGCGATGGCATGCTTCAGCGCTGCGCGAGTGATGTCGGAAAACGGACGGTATGTGCCTGGATGTGTCTCGTTGTCTTAGCCTACTATCACCTTTTTTAAGCCTTACAAGATTCTGAATGCGGTACGAACCCATGCTGTTGATACGCCATGTGTACTCGAGCTGATACCGCCGCCACTGCGCCGCCAGGGTTTTGGCTTCATCTTCGTCGCCGTAGAGCTCTGCGAGTTGCTTTGCGATGGATTCGGTTGATAGGAGAGTGCCGTATAGATCAAAAGCGATGATTGTCTTGCGCTTGTCTTGCTCCATGTCGCTCAATGGCCCGGACTTGCCTGTGTCAAAGCCGGGATTTCAATGCCGATTACTACGAGATGGATTTTAAACGAAGACCTCGCAAAAGGAAAGCCACGATGGTCAGATGGAAGGAATGTCGTCCGAACGCCTCTCAGCCGGCTTCCGTCACCCAAAACGTGGGGGAGGGGGATGCGCACTTATACCCGGGCGCCCCCGCTCCCCACAGACAACGCGCTAAAGTGCCCTAAAATCGCCCGCCCTCCGTCCGAACGGATCGTGAGGTGAGCTCCGAAAAGCAACGTCGACTCAACGTCATCGATTCACGTCTTCTACCTCATCTCACTCACACTTTTCATGAGAAGAATTTCACCTCACAGAATCAAAACTTGCCACCATAGATGAGACAATGAGAAGTTCTGATGAAGATTCACCCCAGTTTGAAACATTACGAGACTGCCTCTCCGCCGCCGTCGTAGAACGCGTGACCAAACCAGCACCGAAACCAAAACGCCGCTCCAAGAAGGCGAATCCTCGCCGGCTGCCCAAATCTCAAAATGATGATGTGCCCTCAGCCGTCACCAGCGGCGCCGGCACTGGCGACGACGATGATAACACTCAGGTGGACGCAGACGACATGATCGACTTCACATCCTACCTCGCCTCCGAAACCTTTGACTCGTTTCCCCCGGACCTCAAATCCTTATCCCACGCAACCCACACAGCCGACCCGTCCCTCCTACAATCCCGCTTCCCCCTTCCACTCACCGGCGCTGATGTAGCAGACCTCTTACCCACTCTATCCTCAGACGTTGCGGACTCGCTGGCAGCCTACCACATCGTCGACCCAGCGAAACAAGGCGCCCACGAGTTCCTGGCCCCCGTGTTGACAGAGTACATCTCCGCCCTCGTCGCGCCGCCGCCTCCCCCGCGCTCGACGCGAGATTCCGTGGATGGATGCGAGTTATGCGGGCGGGACTGGATCGGGTTGACGTATCATCACCTCATTCCGCGCATGGTGCACGATAAAGTCGTCAAGCGCGGGTGGCACCGCGAGGAGGAGCTGAACAACGTGGCGTGGCTGTGTCGGCTGTGTCACTCCTTTGTGCATCGTTTCGCGGGGCATGAGGAGCTTGCGAGGCAGTATTATACTGTTGAGTTGTTGCTTGAGCAGGAGGAGGTTGTGAGGTTTGCGCAGTATGCTAGCCGGGTGAGGTGGAAGGGGAAGTGAGGGCATCATCAAAAGTGCATGTTTGAGGTTTTGGACTGGGAAGCGAGTGGGTTTGGAATTTTGCTATTTTCCTGTTCCCTACGACTATCCAGAAGTCTTTTGGGGCTTACTCGTCCGTCCAATTATCACTCGCCGACACAACGTCCCTCAATCGTCCCTCGAAGCACTGCCTAAGCATCATCAACCAAGCTCACACCATCCTGCTACCTCGGGGCTCAACCAACTCCCACCGCTCTTCAAAGATATTTCTAGGCAGAGTCGGGTTACCACACGCCAAAGGCGCATACTTTAGACAAATCCTTCTCCGCTGCCGTTCACAGCAGTAATTCCACACGCACGCCTCGCCCGCGCTGCAGCTGCTCGACGAAGTACACGTCCTGACCTCGTTACATCCCTTACTCTCCACGCAGACGTGCCTCCGACCCGGTTCGTCCAAGTTCCTATCGACCTCGCGAAGACAAGTGCAGAGCTTTCCACCGCCGCCGGGGCACTGGTAGAGGTTCACGCCGTCAAAGGGACAGTCGCGGGCGCCGCGGCAGCCTGGGTTGGCGTATTGGGTTGCCGTGACGGTGGCGACTGGCGCGGGAAGGGTCGTTATGTAAGGGGTGTAGCCCCAGCAGCTGCAGGCTGAGGAGTAGGCGCTGGTGCTGGTGCAGGAGACCCCCGCGTAGGAGGGGACTGAGGTTGGAGATTGCGTGATGGGGGCACGGGTTGTAGACTGAGAGAAGGTAGTAGTTGGGGTAAGGGGTATATTGTCGGTGTAGATCGTGGTGGTGATGGTGGAAGTGCTAGTAGATCATGTCAGAGCTTGTGGCTGGAACTCGTGCTGCTTCTAGTTTCTGGGACTTACAACGTGTCCGGAATGACGGTGGTCTGCATGTAAGAGGAGCAGTCTAAGCCGCGGCTTGTGACGTCCGGGACGCCGGCGGCCCTGAAGGTGCCGGTCACTCTGCGGGCGCAGTTATCGGCGTTGCATCTCTGGGCAACGACAAAGGAGATGAGGCCTACGAAGGCGACTATGGTAGACTTCATATTGACGACTTGATCGTATCTCTTGAGTATTTGATGGCTGACTGGTGATTGAGCGCGACATGGAAACGAGTTGAAGCAGCCGGACAGTCGCTTTTTATCTATTGTAGGAACCTGAATGCAGGACACGTCTAACGGTCTCACTGGCCCCAATATGAGCTAGCTGAGCCAGTTTGAGCAATCTTGAGTGAATGTGGCACGATTAGCATGAGCGGATGCCAACGAATGAAACCCGTCAACACCAGCTGAACATGAAGCTATCGTGGAATCATGGCTCAGTAACACCGTTCGCACCCGCGAAGGCAAAGTGGATTGCCCCGAGGGATGTCTTACAAGATTGAGTCAATTACAAAGGTAACCCTGTCAAGCCTCGTATCGAGGTGTGGTCGCAGTTCTCTATTACCCCAGAAAATGGGCTGCTGCGCAACATACTGTATCCGATACGTGATTTGCTTACCATTGAAGCTTGACAGAGCCAGACACACTGTGTGCAAGAGACAGCAGTGTCTATTGAGACTGTCTCGGAGCGGTAGTACCTGAGCAGACGCAGGACAAGCAGATCAGCTGAGCTTTCTAATACGAGCTTCAGTCTCAGTCTGAGTCGAGAGCAACTTCGGCCGCGACTCGATCCAACAATCATTTTCAAACAATCGTCGTATCTCACACTCAAGATCCTGTCTCGAAGAAATACTAAAGATGGTGGTGCCATGAGACTAATCGCAAATGGTTTCAAGTCGATGCCGCCGTTGGTCCAACATCACTCCTATCACCCTCCAATAACCCGAGACTTCTCAACAACGCATCCGGCCCGGGCTCCCTACCCAGAAACTCTTTCATCGTCACCATTTCGTCTCTGCTGCCGCCGTACTCGAGGATTCCTCTTCGGTACCGGTCCCAGACTTCAGGACTGCGGGGGTCCTTGGCGAAGCACGACTCGAAGAAGGAGGCCGCGAATGCTTGGGCGCTTTGTGGTGGTAAGTCAGCACTGCACTTGGAAGCTGTAGTGACGGGGCATGAGTCATTGGTAGAGGGCCTCAGCTCCCGTTGAACTCTGGATGAGATTGTAGAAATGATTCTATGCAGCAAACGTACCTCATGTAGGCGTAGTAGCCCGCGTCGTAGAGCTCGATGAGATGCGTGGAGTGAACCAGTCCGTACCCTCTCTTATCAGGATTCGGGCAGAGTGTCATGGAATCCTGAAGGTCGTTGTAGAGCTTCACTTCGTCCAGCTCTCTCAGAGCCTCGGTTGACTCTTGATTGTTCACCATCATATCAAACGTGGCAAATACTCTGTTCCGTGTCAGTAATCCATCAAATCACCATAACAATCACACGAGGTAACAAAAGAAAGGTAGAAAAAGACAGAAAACTTACAGCTGCCTTAGGAACCATAGACCCCGGTTCAGCTCTCGACTCTGTACCAAGTTTTCGGCCAACTCCTTTGGCATCTTTTCCTGCGGGGGCTCTTCACCATCCCCATGGTATTCCTTCCACTTCGCCATGTACGCCGGATCGACGCGCGTGTAGTGCCGGCCCATCTTGACGAGCTCTTCCGGCATCCAGCACCACTTTTCCAACATCGTGCTCGGCGCCTCGCCAAAGTCGGGCGCCACACGCGTTCCGTGGAAGCGGGTATGCTTTGTGCGGGATACAAGATCGTGAAGCCCGTGGCCCAGCTCTGTGTGGGCAGTGTGAGCGAAAACCATTCCCATCGGACGGGTGCAGAAAAGGAGTGTATCACGAATCATATTTGAGGTTGACAATGTGAGATAAAAGGGACGAAGAAGGGAATTGGACTGGTTTAGGCGTACCGTGGAACAATGTCACGACCTCGCGATGCTTTAACAGCGCACAAGACGCGGCTGTAGGGGGCTGAAAGGCACACATGAGCACCGTGGCAGGGTAGACTCTGGTGCCATCCTCCTTCAAGTAACCCTGTTGACCAGTCAGTGATTCTTTCTGATGGAACGAGCCCAAAGGAGAACAGGTCTCGGCAACGTACGCATTGCAGGTTGACATTGCACGCCGTCCGGTATTTCCCTTCTCTCCACAGAACGTCGGCGTACAGGTATCCCACAAACTCTCCCTTTCTCTCCCCTCTTCCCTCCCAGACTGCCCAAACCTGTACCCCCTTGTCCCAGATCTTTCCAACTAAATCGCTCTTCGGTACGGGTTCGAACTCAAAACCCAGAAACTCGGAGAACAAACTCAGCATGGCCAATAACGTATGATTCAGGGGGAAATACTCGGACATCTTCTCCTGGTCAACGTCCGCCTCTTCCTCAAGAAGTCTCGTATAGTACTCAAAATCCCATGGCAGAATCCCCCCCTCCTCTTTATCCTTCTCTTCACGAACAATCCCCAACTCATTCCTCTTCCTGTCCACAATTCTCGCCATCTCTTCCCTTCCCCGAGGCTCCAATCCCTTTCTCAGCCGTCCCAAGAACTCCTCAACCCACCCAGTCGACGGCGCAACCCTCCTCTCGATCCGGAACTCCGCGTGGTTCCCATACCCCAACATCCTCGCATTCTCGTCTCGTAGGACAAGCATCTCCTTGTACAGCGGCACGTTCTCAGGGAACCGATTGTCAAACGCAACATACACCCGCCTCCTCGTCTCCGAATCACGCGCATACCGCAGCACAGCATCGTAATCCGCCCTCTCCAGCGTGACAAACCTCTTGCCCCTTTCCTCCAGCACGTCTTCCCGCCCAAACTTCCATCTCTCCATCTCTTCTCTGGGTATACCCTCCAGCTCCGCCTCCGTGAACCAGAGGCCTCCGCCCCCCTTGTACAGATTCTTCCTAAACGCCCTCTTCAACTCCTCAATCCTCTCCCTCCGCTCCAAATACACCCGAACTCCCTCCTCATCCAAGACTCCATGCCCAGCTCCGCGATAATCCAGCCATAAGTCCCTCACGATCCTCTTCTCCTCATCCCCGAGCCCTTCCTCGTCCCTCTCCTTGACGGCATTGACAAGCTCATAGACTCCCTTCATCCGCAACCTCTCCGCCGTAGACGCAGACCAGAGCCTCATACCTTCCTCTATGGCCTCGGCGGTAGCCGTGTCCGGGCCAGAGAAGCGGAGCACGCTGAAGGAGCCCGTCTCGCCCTGCGTCTCGTCGTCGGCACGCAGGAAGGGACCGATGGTGTTAGCGAAGGTTGCCTCGGACGGCGTGATGGACGCGACTGCGTTTTCGCGGGCGGCGCGTTGGATTGCGAGGACGCGCTGGACCGTGGGAACGACTTCATCTGCGGCGAGGACGCGGGCGAGGGGTTGTGGTGGTTGGCGAGGCATTGGCGCAGGTGGTTCTGGGGTCAAGTTCTGCATGTTGAACAGATGAATGCTTTGTTCCTGACGGATTCAAATGGCTTTTGGTTTTGGTTTAGCTATGTAGGCAACGTATTGTATACAAGTCTATTATGTACAACCTCGAGTTGATTATCGACATCACCCAACACCACAATGGTTTACCGAATTCCCCTTGGAACAGGAAAACCAATCCATCACAAACGACGCAGCTTCTCACCACGTGCCCCTGCAACCTCATTCTTTTACCCCTGAACGACAAACCTCGTAATACCGAATCCGTCAAAAAAGCCTCGTCACAAGACACACTTTGCCAAGGTCCACCTCGTCAACTTCACATCGAACGCCAGTGATAGGTCGAACAGGCCCTCGTCTTCTTCCCGCGCCGCACTCCCGCATCTCACCGTCATTTTGCACTAGCGCCGGACCCCTCGCCCGCCGAGACGGACCCGCATCTTGGCCTTCCCCTCGGCGACTCGGCACCGGGGGGCATCCCTCCAGGCGCCGATGATTGGACCGCCGGACTCAGCACGATCGGCCACGCGGATGCCACCCCGTTCGCGCCTGCTAGTCTGCAGGAGACAAGGGTAGCCTAGTACCGACAAGATCCTGTCTTCGGTTACACTCTCTCTCTCTCTCTCTCTCTCTCTCTCTCTCTCTCTCTCTCTCTCTCTGTGCGCCTGCCTGATACCTACAAAATCTCCGTCAAAAAAGCATCAAACTCGCCATAAACACCACTCCCGCCCCGAAACCTAGAAACAAACGATCCACTTGCTGCAACTTGTCTAGTCTCACAAAAGCGAACAAAAGAGACTTTCCCGCTCTCTGACCCAACCAGCACGCCTTCTCGATATCTGAAGCACCATCGTCGGCAAGCAGTTCATGCACGTCAAAAAAGTCTCAGCCTTCCCGCCGACTCTATTCTCAGCAACGGGAAAGGTGGGTGGGGTGAGTTGAGCTTGAACCGCTTCGCTATCCTTGACCCCAAGTGGGTTCGACTTCTCGGCAGTACCACCGAAGAAGCCCGTCTGCGAGCTGTGCTCTGAGAGAAAGATGGAGGCAAAAAACGATCATGAGATGGGGTTTTCTAACGCTAACGGCACCCGGCATGAATTTGTTCATCTTAGCTAGGGACGGCTTTCCTGTCAGAGATAAAGGCTGGTGGTCATTGCTCTAGCAGGTGTGTTGTCTCGCACACCCCTTTCGGCTTCGTTCTTCGAGATAGGTGAAAAGCTGCTTCTTTGGCTTGTATCAGGAGTCATCACTAGTGAACGTAAAAGTGTGGCGCAAACTGCCTGATTGTGAACGGTTGAGAGTAGGTAAGTGACCAAGAACACATTGATTAGCTTTCGTGTTGTCTCTTCCCTATAATCAAGGGTCATAGGAAGCAGTTGGTCAAGTGTCTAGACCTGATGTCACTCCTCTCGCCAGCCTACCCTCTCCTGTGAGATGGAGTTTCGTACCGGGAGTAGCTCCCTACGGGAAACCTCATCACCGCCTTACGCATCTCCGGCAACTGAAGTAATCATCCAAAATCTTCACGAACACACCTCCAACTTGGTATCCGTGTCCAGCATCGTCCGCGGGAGCGAGAGAAACCAATCTAGACTCAGCCCGCCCTATCTCTCTATTCCCAATATGAATAACCTCGGAAACCGTCCCCGAGGCAAAACAAAAAAAAGGCCATAGCAGAATTCCAGCCTCACAAGCATCGACAAAAATCTCTGTGCGAAAATGTAGGAGCTTTCTCACCTTTCCCATCTCCGGCAAGAAACCCAAAAACAGCAAACAGCATAAACAAGCCCATGCTTCTCATGCTTTTCTCGCCTCCCCCACACTACCCAAGGTACCTCACCTTACCTCACCTTACCTGAGCTAGACAGCTATGTGACCGCAACGACCAGAGCTTCGGCGCCTCGTCCGCTCGACCTTTCAGTTCCTGGCCCAGCTGAACCGTCCCGTCCGCCAGATCGCCCCCCCGGATCTTCCCCAAGATCCCCAAAAGCGGTAAACAAAACGGTTTGCCCCTCCCTCGCCAGCCAGTCATGCAAAACACCGTCCCCATGTCAGCAGACGCTGTAGTATAAATCATCTCAACTCTTCCAGCATTGGCGCCAAGAGTGACCAAGACAAGTGAAGACTGCCTTAGGCTTTGGTCTGTTCTCTGAATGCGCCTTGGATATGCTGCGTATGGGTAGGAATATGATTGGGAAACAACCTGCTGGCTGGCGTACTATGGTATTGGGTGGCCGCCTTGGTGATGCCCGTGCCTCTCAGCCTCGCCTTCATAAAATTGTAGTTTGACAGAACCGCAGAATGAGGAGAGGCACATGGCTTCCCTCAATTCGCTAATCTTAGCCCAGTTCATATAAACTCTCTTCTCCCCCCTCGCCTCCATCTTTGGACCCTCAAAGGCCAATTTTCGGACTTCTGAAGTGAAAGAAAGGCAAGTTTAAAAAAAGAAGAAAGACAAAATTGCGGTCTGAACTCCAGACACAATCCCCAAAGCCTATTCTCCAAACCGTGAAAGCAGGTAGAGGAACTCCAGAGAGAAACCTCCCGCCGCTACCATGACGAGAGAGTACGGCCTGACTTTGACAGCACAGACGACACCAATGATAGTAATCATGCATTTCGTCCACTTCTCGGCACGACTCCCTAATGGTGTTCTTCTTGGGCGATTTGCCTTTCACCGCTCCGGTGAGTGACCGGCAGAGGTTCAGCCAACGTCGAGCACCATTCTGAAGCCAGGTCATGTTGCCGACTCGGTTGCTCCCGTTCGGGGAGTAGACACTCGAAACACTCTTATCCCATGTGCAGCGACTGCCGCTGGTCGTCAACATGGTAGTTCCATGTTGGCCCCTTGGTGCCAAGACCCATGAGACTCCCGTTCTCTGCCATCTGGAAAGTTTGTTTCGACTCGAGAGAGAGCCTCAATCATAGCAAGTGTCTGTCCAGTAAACGCAGAAGAATATAGCCATAATTGATAGACCAGATGGCTGGTGAACGTGCAAGAGACTGAGAACCAGGTAGGGAATCAACTGGCGAATCCGGCTTGGCTTCCGCCCGGCGCGGCCGTTCTCAGGGGAATCCCGCCCTCCGATTAACGCCGAACGCCGGGGCGGCTCAAGGAGAATCACCTAGAGCCCCATAAACGGGTTGATCGGAAATAAGGTGTCCGCAGAACTTCGGACGAATACCAATTGCCCGTGTTTGAGCGGTCGAACCACCTCCGACAACCAGGGCGATCCCACTCCAGAGGGAACCACCGTTCTCTGCCTTGCAGACGGGGGCTCCTCATGAAGCAGGCTCATGCCAGTCTGACCATCCACACCACTGAACCCAATAGTTGGGAGGGTTGTCACAGTCTCATGCACATAGAAACCAATCAGACTCGCCTGGGGGACCAATGCCCGTCTGTGTCCCGGCCACAAGGGCCACGTCGCGGTTCTGGCATTCATGCTATCTTCGACATAGCGGAATGTTGGATGCCAGTGAACTCGGCAGAAGGCCAGTAATCTAGATGAGCAGGTCAGAATTCAATATCACAAACTCATGTGGTTGGCTCCTCGAGCACCCGTGAAGGGCACGTGCGAGACGCATGGATGATGTGAGACAACAGCAGACAACTGCTAAAGCGAATACAGGCTGCAGCGCGTGTGTGATACAAACAAGCAAGGGAGGCGGGGATTCGCTGCTAGACCGAGATGGTGACTCGTGAAGCTGTAAGCTTATTTTCGAATCTCACCGACTCCTCCAGGTCATGAGCGACTTCATGAATCTCTATAATCAACAGAGCCAATCAGTGCAGTCATAACGGCTGCGGTATCACGGAGTGCTGGCGGGTCTTGGCACCCGGATCGCTCGGAGGTTGTGCGCACCGGCGGTTGCGCCTGTCTCTCTCTCTCTCAGTTTGTCAACTCACACTCCCACTTTTGTTGACCTAAGAGTGAGACAGGGCTTGCCCAGACGCCGGAGTTGGATTAAGCTCCATTATTCTGTTTGGCGGGTCCGATTAACCCCATTGGAAAATACGGAAGAATCCCTTGGGAGCTCATTTCGGGGAGCGTCGTCAACGAGGCCCGCTCAAAGATTCCGAGGTGGAAACGGGGCGGGAGGAGTGGGAAAAGTCCGCCGATGGCCGGGCCACCGTCGTTCCATCAAATTTCGATTTTGCAGGCTCACAATCTCGATTATTGCCAGGGCCCCAAAAATCCAGGTGAATTCTCTTGCTCGCCGATTGTCTTTTCTTGGGCTCGTTGAAGGAGTGGACGTTGGTACCCTGGCTCACATCAGCGGGGCATAACGTAACGCTCGCGCACGCGACGCACGACACTGGAGTGGTCGAGAGAGGCAGAAGCTGCTGCAAACACTTCCGCCGAGCTCGCCCCCTTGTCGGTACTGTCAACCTGTGGTTTGTGGGTTACGCGAGTACGCGGGAACGTGACTGGCTGCCGTGTTCGGTATTGTACGGAGGAGGTAGCACAGACAGTATCAAACTGCCAAGACCGCCAAGTGCGCTGGAGCCTCTTAATGACGATGAATGCTGCCGGTGGTGCCCTACACTTCAATGCTTCCCCTCCTCAGCTGGACTGACACAGACAATACGCTATAGCGCTTCAGCGGTGAGACAAGGTGATACGGTGACGGGTAGGACCTGCAGGCCACGGGACTTCAATATGTAGCGGAAGTATAAACCTGCCCTGGTTTATTAGCAGGTGCTGCAAAATGCTGTGAAGGGACTGATGTTAAATCAAACACACTGACGACGTTGAGTCTCGAGAAGCCGTCTGCAGACGTTGAAGCGGCTGCAGAACCCAAAGCACCTAGCCACTAGTCGCCGGTCTGGCGCAAGAGCTTGCAGTCATTGACTTCATTCGTGGTCGGCGAACACGGACATCGCAGTGGTTTCAAGTACAGGCACTCGTACTGAACGCCGGTGCAAAGACAGGCTTCTGATTAGTGTTGTGCCCGATGGATATGTGATGGTCGTCACAAGTTTTCTGAGTTAGTCGCCGTTT